TGACGAAGCTCACGACGAAGACTCTGCCAAAAGCCAGGTCTCTTTTTGCTGAGAGAGCCATTGCGAGAGAGTGCTTTGCATGCTGTTGCTCGCAGTTTGCTACCTGGACGTGAGGACGAGAGCGATAAAGAGGGAGAGTGTGAACAACAGACATTTTCGTAGGCAGTCAAGGCGAACTATGGAAAATGAAGGAATGGGCGCCCCCTCCTGAAATTAAATGTGTGTAAATCTATTTCGCAATGCAGTTAAAACAATTTCTCTTGTTAGATGGCACAACAAAATAATTCAATTCAACACAATAACTTCAATAACTTTGATTTGATTTGCTAAGTGGCCTTTGACTTTTCTAGAATATTGTTTAAAATCCCTCTATTGTGATTGTCCATCACAACAGTCTGCTTTGAACACAACATCAATAAGAAGGAATCTTCAGAACAGTATAGGATTCTTAGCATGATACGCGTCCACGTGGATAATTAACTATGCGCCCAAGTACTACAGCGGAAAATGGTCTTGGGACCCGAAGAGCCGCACAATGATCTGGAGGATGCCAAGGAGCGCTACATCACAAACAAACGGCTTCAAGTTTTTAAGAACCATAACACAGGAGGAAGAGCTCGTGTTCCGGCATGTCTTTGCGAGATCTGACACGACTTACGACACCGATGCATTGGTGCTCAACAATATAAGAGATCTGGTGCTCTATTTTATGCACCGTGAATTTCTGACGTACAAGTTTGTCTACTTTATGCACCATCGGGTGGAGTACCAGCTGCTTCATTCGCTGACCATCTACTTTGAGTACTTCCTCCAGATGGTGGAGTTTGTAATGATCCACCGCGACGAGCTCTCCGGCAGCATGGCCCAAATCCAGAGCGAACAAACGAATGACGAAGCGGGTGTTCTCCATGTATCTCGGCCAATATCGGATTCTGGTGGCCCGCAACTACAGCATAATCAAGGGGGAAGGCGACTTAGGCATCCCATTTGGGATAAGAACTTCCGCGAGCAGTTCCTTGCGTGCAGCAATCAGATCGTGTGGATTGCAATGCATCGCCGGGCCTACAATATCATCGAAATGGAGATGAATCGTTTCTTCAGTTCGGAGCACTTTGTCACGGCTCTAATGGAGTATCCCATTTTTACGACAGTGGAGAAGAGTCGAAACAAGATTGTGAACTATCTCATGCAGGTGTCGGAACTCATTCAAGAAATGCAGGATCCCAAAGAGGAGGACCTGCCCATTCTGTCGATCGGAGATCGCAAGTATCGCGGCACAGACATTCGCATAATGGAGATGGAAATGGAGTATATTGTGCCGTCACCGCAACTCCGGCTGATCGATGTGACCCACGGTATTTTGGGGCACCCCAAATGGCTCTACAACACCATCCTGTAGCTGGATTGGCCCGCTGTGCTCTGCTCCAACTTCTCGCTGAAGCACGATCCCTACCTTATTGTTCGACAGCCCCGCTTGGCCATCCCAAAGATGGATGTCACGATGCGGCGCCTGATGGCTAAGATCTACGGCACTTTCTTCAAAATCAATGAGATCTACGATCTGCCTCCCATGCACTAAACATCAAGTGGGTGAAACGCGACAAGCTCATTCAACATTATCGTTCGGGTGGTCTGCTCACGAACACCTTGCTGCGTGCCGAGAACGAGGTGAACAACACGAGCCTGGGGGCCCAACGTGGATCAAATTATTGCCGATTACAAAAAGGCCAAAGCGAAGCATCGCAAGCATTAAAATTTGATTTTCCTTCCTGTTTCCAAGTTGCATGGTTCTATTTCTATGTATGCGAAAAACTAATTCAAAAACGAAAAAAACAATTGATCCCGCCAATTAATACAACAATGTTGATGGGGGGAGAAAAATGTTTATTTTAATTTTGTGCACTTCAAAGGTCCAAACCCAAGCAATGGCGCCAATTAAAAATACAATGCAAACATCATTACGTTACAAATGTGGAAAAGCCTCCACAGTGCGACGAGTGAGGGAGACTCTATTCTGCGGGGAGTCAACAACTTTAAGCAAGTAGTTGCCGTTGGCGATTCTTTTGTTTTTCTTCTTGCTATGTTTTCTCCACAAGTATTTAATGGCATTATAAGTGGCAGCAGCGCTGGCTTTTAATCAGCAAGGATAACGAATTCATTCGTAGCTAAGTATAGATTTTGCCCTGCAGCTAGAAAACTTCAGATTAAATTACTCAACATGAAGTGTTCCTCGCCGACTTCCGTCTGCTGATTCGAGAAACAGCAAAAGTAAAACTCAATTACCATCCCAATACCGCCGCCACTGTAGAGCCACAATATATTCCAACAAATAGCCAAGAGATAAAACTAAGTTGGTTAATGGCAGTCGGTAGCTAGAGTTGCCATAAACAAATTGAGAAAGCTTTTTGCCACAAATGTTGACTATAATTCGAAAGCTCTTGAAACTAGTTCGCTTGGAGTTCGGTTTTTTATTTGCATCTGCGGTTCGGAAAATAACTCGCTTGAGAAAAATGTACATCTGAGAATCACTTTGAAATTTAGCGTAGAATTACGTAGAGTTTCACCTTAAGGCATTTCTCTAGCAATGCTGGAAATTCCTGCAAGGACTGCCAGGCTAATTATCTCGTGTGTGGAACATGAATACATACTTACATTCATAGTACATACATATGTACATACATAATGTAACTAAAGCAGCCTGATGAGTCAAGTGTAATGTATTGAATGGCCATGATCGAACATGATTAAAAGAATTAAGGAAACATGATCGAAACATTGAAAATAACTGACAATGTTATATCATTTTCAATATGAAAGTTGAAGTTTTCTCTTTGTAGTTTCCAGAGTGCTGGATACCCGGCCTCCTTCGTCTGTGGAGAAGTTTTCCATAACTTTCCGACACTTGAATGCGAATCGGCACAGAAATCTACAAAACAAAGAAAATGTTTCCCCTGGGTATGTATGTATGTATTTGTGTACAAACAAAATTGGTTAGCAAGTCCAACTTTTTGTGGGTGGCAATTTTAGGAGGGAAAAATGTAATGGTCTATTTTTGGGCCACTTTTAAAATGATTATAAGCTTTTGCACTATGCAAATGTCTGTGTCTGGATGAGCAGCTGTGTCCCAGTAGAAAGGAAAACAAGGTCACGTATCATTTAAATGTCCATTAGAAGCACTTTTCATCTAGTTAGTTGTTGGTTAAACATCAACCTGCTACCCAATAGCTATCATTGACCTAGCGCACACTTCAAATTCTCAAAACAATTCAACAGGCAAAAATAAACTCAAAATCTCTTGAATCTTTTTCGGTTTGAGATGAAGCGCATCCACGTGGATAACTATGCGCCCAAGTACTATAGCGGCAAATGGTCCTGGGACTCGAAGAAGGACGAGCTACACTTTGAGCCGCACAACGATCTGGAGGATGCCAGGGAGCGCTACATCACCACGAATACCTTTATGTTTATGCGCGCCATGAACCAGGAGGAGGAGCTGATCTTTCGCCAGGAGTTTGTTCGTCCCGAAAGCAGCTTTGACAATGACACAGTCGTCATATATGACATACGCGATCTTGTGCTATTTATGATGCCCAGCGAGTTCCTAACGTTCAAATTTGTTGAGTTTATGCACCAACCAGCGGTGTATCGGCTGCTGCATGCGCTGATCATCTACTTTGAGTACTTTCTGCGCTTGGTGGAGTTCGTCCTGATTCGACGGGATGAGCTCTCCGGCCAAATGGCTCAGGTCCAGAGCGAACAAACGAATGACATGAAGCGGGTGTTCTCCATGTATCTGAGTCAGTATCGGATGCTGGTGGCCCGCAACTACAGTGTGATCATCAAGGGCGAGGGCGCCATGGGCAAGTACTACCACATGAAGGAGATTGTCAACATTTCGGCCACCATTTGGGACAAGAACTTCCACGAGCAGTTCCTCGCGTGCAGCATTCAGATCGTGTGGATTGCGATGCATCGAAGGGCCTACAATATCATCGAAATGGAAATGAATCGGCTGTTTCGCTCCGAGCACTTTGTCACGAGTCGGCCGGAGTATCTGACCTTCACACCGGCGGAACGGAGTCTGCTGTATGGCCGCAACAGCAAGATCGTCAATTACCGCACTCAGATATCGCCGCTCATCCAGGAGCTGGAGCACATTCCGGAGGATGATCTGCCCATTCTATGGATCGGGGAGCGCAAGTATCGCGGCACAGACATTCGCATCATGGAGATGGAGCTGGAGTACATTGTGCCGGAGCCGCAGTTGTCGCTGATCGACGTGGCCCATGGCATTTTGGGGCATCCCAAGAAGCTCTACAACACCCTCCTCGAACTCGATTGGCCCTCGGTGCGCTACTCAAACTTCTCCAAGAAGCACGATCCGTTCCACATCGTGAGGCAGCCCCATTTGGACATACCACAGATCGATGCCACGAAGATGCGCAAAATGACCAAGCACTATGAGCATTTTTACAAAATCCACGGCCTATACGAGGAGTGCCCCCGCCAGAAGATCTTCAAGTGGCTGCGGCGCGAGAGGATCATCAAGTTCTATCGCTCCGGGGGTCTGCTCACGAACATTGTCTCGCGCTGCGAGAAGGAGCTGGCCACCAAATCGCACGGCCCTCGCGTCGATCAAATTATCGCCAATTACTTCAAGGTGAAGAGTCGCCTGCGCAAGGAAGCAACCTACGGAGATGACGCTATCAGCCTAGCCTCCTCCCGCGTTGGCAATGCTTCGCCCAGAAAGAGGAAACAGTCCCTCGAACTGCATTTCGATCATTAAGCTGATTCACGATTGTCACTTCTGAGTTTAGTTTCAAATTTTTTGTCGATCGCCAAAACTATGATTAAACTACGATTAAATGAAATTAGTTTAATTCTCTGTATCTTTATCTGGCGAAATTTACAGACTTTTCCCTCCCACTGTGTTTATTTGTACCATCAGCTGTTCTGCAGATAAGCTTATCGAGACGGGAAATCTCTATTGGCGACGCCTCCTAACAGTAGTCGCTCGAGAGCAGTGGTTCCGTTCAGTTCATCCAGCCTCATGTCTGTGCCGCCATATCTGCACTTTACCCAAATCGGGGATCCAGTGCTCCGTCAAGTGGCGGAGGAGGTGCCTGTCGAACGCATTGGCACTGTGGAGATCGATCAGATTGTGGAACGCATGGTAAAAGTGTTGCGTCACTATGATTGCGTGGGCGTGGCAGCGCCCCAGGTGGGCATACCGCTGCGCATCATCGTCATGGAGTTCCGCGAGGGCAAGCAGGAGCAATTCAAGCCGGAGATCTATGCAGCACGCAAAATGTCAACTCTTCCCCTGACGGTGAGTCTAGTAATCTCTCTGTTGTTGTTTAATTAGTCTAAAAATACGTTTTATTGCTGGATTATTGTAACTCATTTGGATGCACCTTAGGTGTTTATAAATCCAGAGCTGGAGATAAGCAGTAGCGCACTGAACAAACATCCCGAAGGCTGTATGAGTGTCCGTGGCTACTCCGCCGAAGTGGAACGCTACGACAAGGTGCGCATTAGGGGAATCGGAAAGCTGGGAACGCCAGCCGAGTTGGAGCTGGAGGGCTGGAACGCACGCATTGCACAGCACGAGATGGATCACTTGAATGGCATGATCTATGTGGATCGCATGGATGTTTCCACCTTCAATTGCCTCAGCTGGCAACAGATTAACGCGGCCGAGGGGCGATCAGCCATTTGGTTCCATAAGTAAACATATTTTGCGGCATTTCTCAATAAAATGAACTAGTTCACACGCAGTATCAATATTAATGGATCGATTAATGGTGGCTCATCGGATCGATCATCTTTATGATTGCGTGTATATGTCCGATTTCCGTCAGATGATAGCTTTTAGACTTCTCTCGAGTTTTTAAAGTAAAACATTTTTGCATTTCAAAGCTTAATATTTTTTGAACGGAGAGCTACAACTACAAAGTGTTTGGGCTTTAAAGAATAACTAAATTCATTTGTGTGAAAGAGGAGCACTACATCTAAAGAAGGGTTAAATCAAATGAACAGATTTAAAAAATGCTTTAAAAACAAGTTCTGCTATAGGGAAAAAAATTATCGTCAAACCAATTCTTTCATAAAAAATTAGTTTGGATCGAAGCGGCAAAATCGTGTCGAGTAGTGTTAATGTTAATCATTTCAAGAGTGAACTGAACTGGTTCACCCTATCGATATATTGATAAGCGGTGTCTTCCTCCCTGCTATCAGCTGTTATTTACCACAATTTGTATAAAAATGTTGCTTAGGCAACCGGCAAACCTTTATAAATCCATTATTGGAACCCGACGCAGCCTCAGCACGAGTCTGCCCGCGGGCCAATCCTTCCGGAAATGGTACCAGCAACTGTGGACAACGGAGCGCACCAATCTGCCGCCCTACAGCCATTTTACACAAATCGGAGATCCTGTGCTGCGGCAACAGGCGGCTGCAGTGCCAGTTGAGCTCATTGAGAGCCCCGAAATCGAAGCCATTGTTGAGCAAATGGTCAAGGTGCTCCGGAAGTACAATTGTGTGGGCATAGCTGCGCCACAGATTGGCGTTTCCCTCAGAATCATAGCAATGGAGTTCAAAAAGAGCCTGCAGAAGGAGATGCCAGAGGCGGTGTACCAGTCGCGACAAATGTCAGAGCTGCCACTGACTGTAAGAGTAGAATATAGCCAATGCTACCTTCTTTAATATTTTCTATCCATAGGTGCTAATCAATCCTGTATTAACGGTGACAAATTATGCGAAACTGAAACATCCCGAGGGCTGCATGAGTGTCCGCGGGTTCTCCGCCGATGTGGAGCGCTTCGAGGGCGTAAAACTAAGCGGCCTGGACACGAGTAGCAAGCAAAAAGATCACGAATTTAGTGGCTGGAACGCTCGCATTGCTCAGCACGAGATGGATCACTTGGACGGGAAACTGTACACCGATCAAATGGATCGTTCGACCTTCTCCTGCACCTGCTGGGAGGCCGTGAACACCAAGTCCGGACGTGTGGAGATTCCCTTTTACAAATAGTTGATGGCATTATTGTTGTTTTAATTGACTGAAATATTGTTATTGTTTTTGAAGAAAAGTCCATGCGATCGCTTTAATCTTCCAATTTGGAGGACGCAAACTTGATTAGATCCTTGTTGGCCAGCTCCAGAGCGTCCTTGACCTTGAAGTACTCCTTGCAGTTCCACATGTCCTGCTTATCCGAGATGTAATTGAACAGATCGTTCATCTCTCGCTTCAGATAACGATGCGCCTCCGACAGCTTTTTGTGCAGCTCCACAACCAGCTTGTGCAGCTCCTCCTTGGCAGCAGTCTGCTTCTGGTCCGCCTCCGCCCCGTCTTCGCTCAGCTTGAGCGCGTTCTCCTGCAGCATTTGGTTGTGCCAATCGGTCCAGCGTTGCTTCAAAACCTTGTCCAGATAGTTGACTATGCCGCAGCGCAAGATGAACTGGCGTATGACTGGATGTGCATTGCCAGCGGCGTCCCGATATGCGGCTTCCCCATTGATGATATGCGACTTCTTCTCCACTCGCGTGTCCTCCAGTGTGAATGGAAGGCCATCCATTGGAAAAGTAAAGGGCTTTCGCTCCATTCTGTCGTACTGATGTTGTTTGCTGCCAAAAAATATATTCAAAATTGTACTGTGCGTTGTTGTTCGTTGGCGTACGAATCAGGAGTGATGTGGCGTATGTCCAGCCAAAGCCTTGACAAATGTTTGACAACTAAGGCAAAGGTTACTTTGTCTTTTATATTATCTATTCCCACACGTTTAAAACTTATTTCTAAGTCAATTTATATACAAACACGCGCAAGAAATGCTTTTAAATTTGAATCTTAATATTTTACAGTTTAAAAACTTTGAATTTATACAGTTAAATGCAAAACAAGCAGTGAGGAGTGGTACGTCCTTGGTCTTGGATTTTGGCAGAGTTCTTGCCTAGAACAGACCCTCGATTTGGCCCGTCTCCGTGTTCAGATCAATATCGTAGATGGCCGGGCGTGTGGAGAGTCCTGGCATTTTGGTAATCTCCCCGCACATGGCCACCACAAAACCAGCTCCGGCCGAGACATAGACATCCTCGACGTCCAGTGTAAAGCCCTTGGGTGCGCCCTTGATTTTTGCATCACCACTCAGGGAGCCCGAGGTCTTAGACATGCAAACGGGAAGATTGCCAAAGCCCTGCAGGGACGAAAAAGGAATGTGAGTAGGTGGCATGGCAGCAAAGGCTGATTATTGCACTTACCGCCTCTGTCAATCGCTTGACCTTCTCTTGGGCGCTTGCCGAGAGCACCACCTGGCCAGCACCGTACATGGTCGTCGCAATCTTTGTCATTTTGTCCAGCAGAGGCAGCTCCAGATCGTAGAGCAGCTTAAAGTTGTTGCCCTTCTCACAGGCCTTGATGACAGCGTCCGCCAGCTCCACGGCACCGGCTCCACCATCCGACCAATGGGTGGACACAACGGCAGCAAAGGCGCCCGCCTTTAGAGATGCCTTCTTGAGCAGCTCATGCTCTGCCGGGGTATCGGTGACATGAACGTTGATGCAGACAACGACTGGCATGCCGAAGGCCTGGCCATTGGCAATGTGCTGCAGCAGATTGGGCAAACCCTTCTCCAGCAGCTCCAGATTCTCCTCGGTGTACTGCTTGTTGAGGGGCGCGCCGGGAGTGACGGCTGCACCGCCGCCATGCATTTTGATGGCCCGCACGGTGGTCACAAGGACCATGGCATTGGGTTTGCGTCCGGAGGTGCGGCACTTGATGTTGCAGAACTTCTCCATGCCAATGTCTGAGCCGAAGCCGGCCTCCGTGCACACAAAGCCATCCTTGCCGACGAGCTTGAGGCCGATCTCGTCGGCAATAATGGAATTGCAACCATGGGCGATGTTGGCAAAGGGTCCAGCATGCACCAGCACCGGCGTTCCCTCCAGACTCTGCATCAGATTCGGCTCGAGGGCGTCCTTCAAGAGCACAGCGAGTGCCCCAGTCACGCCCAGGTCATCGGCTGTCACCGGTTTGCCGGCTCTGTCAAAGGCCACCACCATGTCCGCAAGCCGCTGCTTCATGTCCTTCAGGCAGCGAGAGAGCGCTAGCACGGCCATGATCTCGCTGGCCACAGCAATCGAGAAACGTGTCTCGCGCGTTATGCCCTTCTCCGTGGGCGACTGGCCCACCGTGATGGCGCGCAGGTAGCGATCGTTGATGTCCACCACGCGCTCCCACATGATCGTCTCGGGATCGATGTCCAGGCGGGCAAAGGCGCCGTACTCCTGCTCTGTCAGTGCATCCGGATCGGTCTTCTGAATGCCCAGACGCTGCAGGCGACGCAGCTGAATGGGGCTGAACTTGCGCTGACCCTTGACACGCGGCACCAGGCGCTCGTACAGCGCCTTGTCCTTCTGCGTGCACTCGTGGAAGATGCGGGTGTCCAGCTGTGCGGCCAGCAGATTGTTGGCCGCCGACACCGCGTGTATGTCGCCCGTCAAGTGCAGATTGAACTCCTCCATGGGTATGACCTGCGCGTAGCCACCGCCCGCGGCACCTCCCTTGATGCCAAAGGTGGGCCCCTGCGAGGGCTGTCGCAGCGCAGCGATGACATTCCGCTGCTTATGGGCGCCCAGTGCTTGGACGAGGCCCATCAACGAGGTGCTCTTGCCCTCACCCAACGGTGTGGGCGTGATGCCAGCCACCACAACGTAGTTGCCCGCCTCCTTGTCCGCCAGCCGCTCGAGCACCGACAGCGAGATCTTGGCCTTTTTGTTGCCATACAGCGACACCTCACGCGGCTCTAGGCCGATCTCCTTGGCCAGCACAGCAATGTTCTTGGGCTTCTGCCCGCGTGCAATCGCAATGTCACTGGGCACCGGCCGCAGCGGCGTCAATGGCAGCGGCTCCAGTGTCCACTGGGTGCGCAGCTGGAGATCCAGAGCCTTGGCCGCCGAACGGACGGTGTTCTTCATAAGCATGGCCACGGTCATGGGCCCAACGCCGAACGGCACCGGTGTGATATGTCCAGCAACCTTCTTGGCCTCCCAGTAGTCCACGTCGCCCACCAGACGAGTGCCGCTCTCCTTCGTGGGGTCTAAAACGAAGGGGTTGAGATTTGTGTGATTAGAATTGGAGAGCCAAAAGCAATCGATGGACTCTCAAGGAGCGCTTAGCCTAGACTGAAAGCCCGCACCAAAGTTGAAAAACAAAATTATGCACCTTATCAGTGTGCACACCCCAGGGGGGAGGGTCACTGCGGGGTCACTTTGTAACGATAAGAGCGCAGTGCTGTGCAGTGCAGTTGAAAATGAAAATGAAAAACAAGTGACAGAGCTAAGGAAAATTCCAAGAGAAGCAATGGGGGGAGAGAGATAGAAATAATCCTCACCTGGCTTCACATTGATGCCACAATCGATGACCACTGCACCGGGCTTGATCCACGATGCCTTGACCATTTCGGGCACGCCAATGCCCACCACCAGAATGTCTGCGGTCCGTGTGATTTCCTCGATATTGCGCGTCTTCGAGTGGCACACCGTCACCGTGGCATGGGCCCACTTCAGCATCTCGGCGGCAGGAGTGCCCACGATTTTGCTGCGACCCAAGACAACGGCTGTGGCGCCAGCAATCTCCACGCCTGTGCGACGTATGAGCTCGATGCAGCCCCACGGGGTGCATGGCAGGAAGCCACCAAGATCACCGATGGCCAGACGACCCTCGTTGATGGTGTGGAGGCCATCTACATCCTTCTCGGGGGACACTGCATCCGTGATGCGATGCGAATCGATTTTTCTTTCGCAGTCCAGTGGCATCTGCACAATGATGCCATGCACTCGGGGATCGTCGTTCAGGTCATTGATCTACGGATTAGAAATTTTTTCTTTGGGTTCGTGCCATTGCATAATCCACGATCAACGATCAACCCACCTTATCGATCAGCTCCACTTGGGTGATTGTGCGCGGCAGCTTGACGTGAACCGCATCGATGCCAATCTCCTCGGCCGCCTTGATCTTCATGCGAATGTACACATTGGAGTCCTCGCGTCCGCCCACCTGCACGATCCTCAGTCCGGGAGTGAAATTTGGCAGCAGCTTCTTCATGGAAAGCACCTCGTTGCACAGCTCCCCGTATATGGTTCTGCCAGTGAAGGTGGAAAGAGTTTGCTAGGGAATAATCTTTAAGGATTCTCTACAACACTCACCTGGCCACTGCCCTGCCTGTTATAACATTGGCACCGTCGCTGCTCATCTTTCTAGCCGGATCGTCGTCTCCCTGCTGAACACTGCTGAAATAACGTACAAGGTTTCTGCTTAGTCCGGGAACCGAACAAATCGAACGCCTCACTAGCGACGCCAACACGAACGATCGAATCGCGCAATGCAACTCAACTGAGTGGCCGCACACCAACGACAGTCCTATCTATAGGTTCCAGGTGCCGCTCTCCCTTTTGGGATTAAGCCTGCTCGGCCCGCTCTCCCTCTCTCTATTTCTATTACCCGCTATCAGTGGTCTTCCGATTATCGGCTGTGCTGGGTTTCAGGTTCCACGGGTCACATCTTTCGATGGCGAGCCGTAAATAACACCATTATGTGACGTCTGTGGAGGGGCGGGCTCTAAGAGCCACAACATGATCCATGCCAGTACAGGAAAATAACCGCAAGCGGGTGGGCAGAGGGTATCATAGAAAACTCTGGATTGATTACCAGGGAAATCATTTGCGAAAGTAATTTCCATGCATCAAATCTTATCGCTGAAGTGGTCGAACCTTTGAAATGATTGCTAGGTGATATGAAATGGGGAAATTTGTATGATGGAAACGATTGTCAGAATGTTGAGGCATATTTCTAGACCTTTATGTATGGTGTATGAAATGGGTGGGTGCCTTTGCATGAAGTTCAACTATTAATTACAAAATTTAAAGTATTTTTAAGCGTATATTTTAACCACGATCTTTGGCATGCAGTCCCACTGTAGGGAGAACACTTTTACCTGCCACAATTAACAGCGTTTTCCTAATCTAACTAAACCCAACACAAAAAAGAGTCAAACAATTCTGCACGAAGGCAAACAGAACAGAACCTCAGCAAATAGCACAGAAACCAGTCCGTCCTTATCGGCAAGGTGTCAATTGGCTGAAGCGATAAGCAATGCCCAAATAACAGCCACAGAGAGCGCGACAAGCTCTCTATTCTGTGCTCTCCTCATAGATCTCTGGAGGCGCACTAATCTTAACTGCTGCCCGCAGCTTGGCCGATCGACTGCGACTGTTCCGAGCGACCTCCGCGGGGTCGGGCACAATGACGTGACGATGGAGCTGCCGCCAGTTGGTTTCGCTCAGCGATTGAAGCATTTCGGGATCATCGATGAGTCCATGGCTGGAGTACTTTAGGGGCATGAGATTTGCAGCGCCAGCAGTGACATTGCCAGCGATGTGCCGCTTCACAATGGTGTCCTCCAGGGAGTGAAAGGTGATGGTCACCAGGCGACCGTCAAGGCGCAGCATTTCGTTGGCCAGCAGCATGGCGTAGTTGATTTCGTTGAGCTCATTGTTCACAAAGATGCGCAGCGCCTGGAACGCCTTGGTGGCCGAATGCGCCGGACGCTGCAGCTTGTCCTTGCGAGGCCCACTGGCGAGGGCATCCTCCACGATATTCGCAAGCTGTCGCGTTGTCTCAATCTTAATCATTCCGTTGCGTGCATCGACTATGGCTCTGGCAATCTTTTTGGCTGCCTTTTCCTCGCCATAGATGCGCAGAATCTTGACCAAATCTCCTTCCTCGGCCTTGGCCACGACATCGGCGGCAGTCAGGCCGCCACTGCGTCCCCCATCCATGCGCATGTCCAGCGGACCATCGTGGGAGATGGAGAATCCACGTTCCGCCTCATCGAACTGCATGGAACTGCAGCCAAAATCAAAGAGTATGCCAGCAATCGAGTTCTTCGCGAGGCTCTGCTCCCCAAAAAATCGTGGGATGTCGGAGAATTTACCGAGCAGAGGGATAATCCGTCCCTTGTACTCTGCCGTTTCGCTCAGCTCCTGCGCCAGCTGGTGGGCCACTGGATCACGATCCAAGGCGTACACTTTGGCATCCGGCAGGGCCTCCAGTAATCGCCGCGTGTGACCACCCGCACCGAAGGTCATGTCGAAGAACGTTCTGCCGGGAGCCTCCTTCAAGTATTCGATGGCTTTGTCACAGAGTACAGGCACATGGGGAGCGGCTGGAAGAGGACTGGCAACTGTTGCTTTTGCTGCTACTTTGATGGTATTGTGTCTTAGATAGTCTAGCCTTATTCTAGTGGGGATTAGGAGTCGCTTCAGCATGATGGTTATTTCTTCTTGGAGCCCGCTCCGTCGTTGAGATACTGCAGGAACTCGGAGCTCAACACTTGGCTGCACTGTGCGGCCGTCAGTCCAGTGGCCGTCGACTCGTAGCTGCGCGGATACTTCTTGGCGTAGACGTTGCTCGACAGCCGCTCCAGTGCATCAATCTGTCGGTCCAGATCCTTGTCCGCTTCGCTGTTAAGGCCGTTTGAGAATCTGGTCACTTGTTTGCGGATCTGCTCGCCGAGATCCCTTTTGGTGCGGATTAGAGGATAGAGAAAGTTTTTATTGGAGTGGCAGCAAATGGAACTTGTGTTTGGTTTTGTGGCAGATGTTCGTTACAAGCAGCGCAGCAGTGGGGCATGGGTTGGGGCTACTTCTGGGAATGAAATCGAAGCTAGAGTGAAGACAGCACCTGGGCAGACGTAATGGGAAAGCGAAAGACGAATACGAGAGAGCAGAGCAAGATAATCCCAAGATTCCACGACTTACTGGACCTCCACTCCATCTCCCAAGAGATATTCCTCTGGGATTAGCTGATAGGAAAACTTTGAAGACATTTTCAAGGCTACAAAAATACACTGGACGCTCGACCAAACGCTGGGAAGACCGGCTGCACAATGAGTCCCATGTAAGCGGACAATTACCATGAGAGTAGCGATCCACACACATGGATATGCACCATACCGTGCCACATGTGTGGAACCTGAGTGACGGCATGGCAGCAACATCGGCTTCGACGCAGACAAACCCGCACTGACATGTTTTGAAACTACAATTTTACATTGCACGAAGACTGTTTGAATTTAAATGGCACTTGCTCCATTTATTTTTTGACATTCGCTTCATTTATTTGTTAGATAATCCAAATCCAAAAGGCAACGCAACCCAAACGTCGCCCCAGTGGCCGCCGGAACGAACATTCGCCCCGCTTATTCTCGTGTGTTTGTGTGGACAATGGTATTTACCTGCCAATCTTTGTTTTATCCGCTGGCCACTTTTCAAGTACTTTCAGGAATTTTTGGTATTGTGCCGACATTGTTTAAACAAATTGCATCCAAAAATGCGGCACGTTGTTGCATGCAGTGTTAGAAGAAATCGAACTTAACCCACCTAGCCCCGTCTATTTAAACAGTTAAGGAACTAAAGTTAAATTTTTCAGAAAATACTGCTTTTTGTATACTCTTCTGTTAGATTCATTCCATCTCTTTGATTGCAAACTAAATGCACTACGATATCCTTCACATGAAATGCGTAAAGTATTTTTTAAGTTCCATAATAATCCTACGTACATTAAAATACCCAATGGCCCACAATGGGTTAATCGTTCGCTGTCCATTCAGTGTTGGCCAATTCGAAAATATTTTAAATTCCGAAACTGTTAATGCCATTTCCTTTTCCAACTTTAAATTGTAATTTTCGAAGTCTGTAGGTAACCAATGTTACTCAACATGGTTCATTATCTTAGAACCTAGATATATTGGACGCTCATTCGTCTTAAAATAGAAAATAGATAGCTAAATAATGTCAAGAACAATGTTTTAGATACACTACCAGTGTAATCCATATCCAGGTCATCCTCCATCCCAAAGACTCCCAACAGGTTCTAAAATCAATGGATATCATTCATTCGTTACCTTTTCTACTTTTCCTTTAACCAACATTTGGCCCAATTAAATTCGGTATTCAAAAAAAGGAGTACGCCTTCCTCCCTTCCTTCCCTACACTATACAGAGAACCACAAAAAAATCAGAGGCGCCAGAGGAACAAAAAACCGGAATGACCGACACAAGAGAGAGAGCAGAGCCCACAAACACATATGCAAAGAGCCAGAATGAGAGAGAGAAGAGAGACAAAAAGTACACACATAAAAAACATAAACAAGCCTTTTTTCATAACGTGTGCGAGCGGGAAGGAAGAGCTGTGGAGAGCGACATCATTCCACCCTCTCGCTCAGCTGCTTCAGAAAAAACTTGCTTCGGTTGTGATTTTTTTCCACTCTCTTTTACGCCGCCGAACCGAGCACTTCTTTACTCGTTTGCGCCGAGAGTCCCGTTTTTTTGCTCTGCACCGCGCGCTCGTCTCTTGATGTAAACAAGCGTAACCGAAGCTTACGCCGCGCCACCCACCGCCGCCTCCTACCAAACGGTTGTAATTGCAATTAATAGAAGGCGGGTCGCCAAAAAAGTGCCAAAAGCCCCCCAAAAATAAAGCCCAAAATCGTAAAAAAGGGGCAAAAGCACAAGTGCAGAAAAAACCAAACTTGTGCGAGTGTGTGTTGGTGTATTTTTGGCGTGCGCGGCCATTTTTTCTTGTTGCCACACGGGAATCTGCCTTAAGTGTGTTAGTGTATGTGGAAGATAAACCAAAAAGAAGAGGAATATAAAAGAGCGAAATTCGCAAACTTAAACATAATAGAATCATTGAAACACATAAAAAAGGCGCAGGAATGCGTATCATCCAACAAGTAAATTACCGCAAAACCGCAAGCAAAATACCTGAGTGAAAGAGTGAAGGACTGGAACCTCCACTGTACCCCTCTCTCTTCCAACAACCACCTACAATCAGCAGCTGAACACGTGCTCGGTGCGGGCCAAAATATCAACAAAAGTTGTCCCACAAAAATACAGCAATAAGAAAACCAGCATACAAAAAACCTTTTCAAATTGGTGAGGTGAGGTGAGTACTTTCCCGCAAGTCTTTCTTTTATTTATTTGCCTTATTGGAAGTCTCGTTTCCCGCGCTCACTGCACAGTGGGCAGGATTTCATAGAGATAATTTTTGACTCTAGAATCTAGAGTCTAGAACCTAGAGAGAGTAAACGGTTATCTGGGTATATTTGATATGTTATGTACATACATAGTACATATGCTTTTATATTGAAATAGATTTTCAAATTGAATATTTAATTCACGATGTCAAAAGATCTCTCTCCCATTTCCCCAAACATTCCACGCAACCCGAATTGTTAACCGCTTTGAAGCGCTCACAAAACTTTTAACTAAATGCCATGATTACCAAAAAGTTAAAACAATTTCATTCCCGCAAAAATATTTGTAAATGGTAACTGTCCCCTCTGTCCATTGTTCCCCCTCCTCTTATTACTTTTTATGCTCGCTTTCATTCATTCGGTGGTGGCGGTTTTTTTGTGTGTCGTCGTGTCTTTTTTATCTTCTCTTTTTGTATTCATCAAATATTTGCTGTTTTTTCGCACACATGTCGCCCCCAACCACTGCGGCGAGAGCGAGAGAGCTAGCGAGGTCCGGCTCGGAGCGTTTGTTTATGTTGCGCTCTTGCTCGCTCTTTCTGGATCAAGGTATATGCTTCAGAAGGTGGGGCAGAAGGTTGTCTCTCTCTCTCCGCCCACACTAAACATTTGCCAATCTCGCTTTCGGAAAATGCCACTAAACCCTCTTATTAGTATACCTTGCTCCGCTCTTGTGCTCTCTTTTGTTTTTCAGCTGCTTGCGCTCAATTAATTTTCGTTGATTCGTTTTTTTGTGGGTTTCTTCGTGTGTGCCTGTGTGTGTGTGTGGGGTTTTTTTGTGTATACCATGTTATATACTTTTTTAGGCAGCGTACTGCTTCTTTCCTCACTTTTTTTTTGGGCCTGACTGACCGATTTGCCTGCGTCTTTGGGGCATTATCAGGTTGTGTGCTTTGCTCTGTTTGTTGAACGCCACTTTTTTGCAATTGTTTTCAAAAGCAAACACTTTTATAGGGTATTTACATTGTCCGTAATCCGCTTCCCCATCCCCTTTTTATATTCTTTTTGCGCGCAACAAGCAAACAGCGCGTCCTTTTACATTCCGCTTCTCCATCCCCTGCCCTGATTCCACTTTTGCTACTGCTTCTGCTCGCGCTCCCGTTTCCCCTTCCATTTCCCTTCCCATCATTGTCCAACGTCAGCAACGACATCAGAACCGGTTCTTTTGACCAGCGCGCAAAAAAGTAAAAGAAAAGAACTCAATTTGCCTCTGACGTCAACACCCACCCGACCAAAAGGTCGCTAACAAATTATCGTTCAAACATTTTGAACTCCTATATGAAGAGAAACGAAAGGCAATAGGTAATTTACATTTTAAAATGTAGTTCCATAGCAGTTGATAGTCTGAAAAAGAAATAGGAGCGGTCTTGAACTCCAATTTCGTTCATTCATTTATTTTAAAGAATGAATTTCATTGTCTTCCAATTTCTGAAAATTTGCTTGAGAGTCGAATTGAAGAGACTCCTCTATTCGATTTGTATCTTATCTAGGAAATCCAGCATATTCCATTAAATTTCTATTTCCGTTTCAGCCACAATAAATTTTGAACTGTTTGTTACTTTTAAGCGCATTAAATGTAGTAAATCTAGAACAAGGTTGATAAATTCGTTTGATTATCCCCATAAATGCAACAAGTGAGGGGAGGATATATCACTGTTTTTATAACTCCGAATTCTGTACAGGCCTTGGGCGAATGTTTGTTTTTTGTGGGTTTTGCCACCGTTGTGAAAGGGTTATGAAAAATCTGTTTTTAAAATCAATTAAAAGTCATTTATCAATGATGGATATGCTGGTGGAAACTACCGTCAGAAATAATTTATATGATGAGGTTGGATAAGGGCGGGATAATTGATTAAAAAGAACATTACAAGTGAAAGGAATCAAAGTAATTAATTGCACTAAAATTACTTAGAAATGTGTGGATTTATGATTCCTAGAATAAAAGAGATCCAAACCCGTATACCTTTCTTCATTCGATTTTAGGAAAAATACAATTATTTACTTTCCAGAAAGACAGTTGAGACAGTAGAGAAATGTCCCATTCTATTCACCAAAGAGTTGCGCCTCTAATAGTTGATTTGCCTGTAGCATATTTTGGCACCCCATCCAATCATATTTCCATACGTACTTACCCCCACCTCTTTTACATGATTGGTCCATTTATTGTTGGTGCTGCCACTCCCCGTGACGCCTCCCAGAAATGTGTTAAACTTGTAGTTGCAATAAATTTCCATCCATCGAGGTTGTTGACACGTTCCGTTGGCGCCCCTGACGTTTTTTGCTCCCTGTCCGAAAAAGAGAACCCCGATTCGGGTTTGGATTTGGCTTTCCATCTTGTGCAGTGTTGTGTTGTCACCACGAAAACTTGTTGCCCCAAGCGCCTTTTTTGTTGATCTGTTGAAATTTTCATTTTTGCTTTTTTCCCTCTACTGGCATTGTTCATAAATAATTCTCTTGGAGCTTTTTAGCGCTTCAGTGGCAACTTTTTTTTGTTCGTGGCAGCATACACCACAGAACTCTTGGCCCATCTTTGGGGCCCATCACTGCACACGTTTTAATTCACAATTCACAAACAATTAATTAATTCATGCATAAATATGTTAATGTGCAGAAATTAGTGTACGAGAGTGTAAGGGGAAGCAAAGTAGAATCGAAAAAGTAGTTTATGCCCAGTTTTGCTGCGTCGACAATTATTTCAGATTCAAGAATTACAATATTTCTGTACTTTCAGCAGAAAAGAGTCAAAGTCCCCCATATCAGAGGAGGAAAGTGTAGAAGTAGAGGAGGAGTATCTTGTGTAAGCGGAGTCCGCTGCTCCAAGTGTCGACTGTTGACTGTCGATTTGCCCCACAATCGTTGGTGAGCTCTGCCCCAAGCTGGACGCACGCACAATCGCCTACCGCCCGCTGACACTTGGGGGCCATCAGCCGCCGCATATGGCCGAATTGCCGACGGCGCCGAACGGCGTCTCAAGCGGCGACTATCTCCATCGCTCCATTGACCAGCTGCGATCCCTCACGCACCTCACCACAGCAGATTTGCGAACAGCACAACTGGTCCACGATTACAAGCCTTTCAACATCAATGAGTTTCGTCAGAATGTTGTGGAGCGGCTGGACTACAGCTTAAAGAATGGTTTGGTGCATCACCAACAGCAACAGCAGCAGCAACAACAACAACAACAACAACAACAGCAGCAGCAGCAGGAGATGTTGCAGCAACAGCATCAGGCACATCAGGAGCAGCAGCAACAACAACAGCAACAGCACCACCATCAACAGCAGCAGCCGCATCATCTAAAGTCCAGCTACAGTGCGCCAAGCTCTCCGCCAACGCCACACGAGCAGCAGGAGCAAAAGGTGAGTCCTGATGGGGTGCAAAGAAGAACAGACCTAATCCCTGTCCTTTATTTACAGTACGATCCCAATAGATCGCCTCCACGCCCGCTCATGAGCAACGGCAGCAATGCCTCGTCACCGGAAGATGATCGCAGAGGCAGTGGCGGAGGACCTGGCGGCGGTGGCGGAGATGGGGACCAATCAAAGCCATACAAATGCGCATCGTGCAGCAAATCCTTTGCCAACTCCTCGTATCTGTCGCAGCACACGCGCATCCATTTGGGTATCAAACCCTACCGCTGCGAGATCTGCCAGCGAAAGTTTACGCAGTTGTCGCACTTGCAGCAGCACATCAGGACGCACACGGGGGACAAGCCGTACAAATGCCGGCATGCCGGCTGTCCCAAGGCCTTCTCGCAGCTCTCGAACCTGCAGTCGCATTCGCGCTGCCATCAGACGGATAAACCCTTCAAATGCAACTCCTGCTACAAGTGTTTCGGCGATGAGATGACGCTGCTGGAGCACATACCCAAGCACAAGGACTCGAAGCACCTGAAGACGCACATCTGCAATCTGTGCGGCAAATCCTACACGCAGGAGACGTACCTACAGAAGCATCTGCAGAAGCACGCGGAGAAGGCGGAAAAACAACAGCAGCGGCACACCAGTCAGGTGGCTGCAGTGCAGCAGCATGTGCCATCGGGTGGAATCGGTTTGAATCTGCAGCGCCAGGCTATGAATGATGTGAATGCCGCGTATTGGGCCAAGATGGGGGCGGACAGTGCGGCTGCATCCCTGGCAGAGGCCATTCAGCAGCAGTTGCCGCAAGCCAATGGCCAGACGTACGCGAACTTTGCCTCGCTCCAGCAGCATCAGCAGCAACAGCAGCAGCAGCAGGAGATGCTGCAGCAGCACCATCAACGGCTGGCGGATACGCCTGGCCACTCACACAGTCCGCATGAAGACCCCGCCGGCGAGGATCTCGTCCTGCGGCAGACGACACCACAGCATCACCTGCAACAGCAACAACAGCAACAGCAACCCTCGCCTGGACCTGGCTCCTCGGCTTTCACTCCACTCAGCGCCACGGCGCCGCCCTCACATCTGCAGCAGCATCGTGGAGCTCCAGCGGCCACTGCGGCCTATCTCTACCAGCAGAATGCAGCAGCGGCGGCCGCTGCCTTTCCCACGCAGCTCATTTCGCTGCATCAGATACGGAACTATGCACACCAGCCAGGGACAGCGGGGCTCATCAGTAGCGATCATCTAACCCTCGGCCTGAGCGCCGTCCAGGCGGCCAAGGAGAAGGCCCAATAGTACAGGCCTCTGCGTGGCCACAAAAGGCAGCTACGATGACATTAGTTTTAAGTTACAACAGGACCTTTAAACTGGAATGAATTAGCACGACTTTTCAGGAATTCATTCCAGTTTAAACACTCGAAAATATGTGTAACTTAGGTTTAGTTTAGGCACCAGTTCAAGGCAGTGCAGGAGCTGAAACTTTCACTTAGTGTTAGCCTAGCTATAGACTTAGCCATCCTTTAGACACATTTAAAGTATTGATTGCTTTATTCTACTATAAATCTCACTCTCCAAGCCCCTCCAAACACTGCCCACAAATAAAAACAAAGAAAGGTAAACGCAGCTCCTCGCTGCCTTCAACTGCAAAGAATTTGAAGAATGTAATGTATGTATAGAATATTTGTATCTAGGACAACTCAGGATTTTCAAGTATCGTTTTTATGATATTTATATGACCCTCTACCAACTTTCTATTCATAAGAAATCTCTCCCAAAAAAACCCTAAAACTCTGATGTACTCGAAAGGAAAAACAAATAATGCATTCGAGTAGATCACAAGTTTTGTCACCAGTCGATCCGATGATAGGAGCCGTACAAAGTACGGCGGATACATAATGTAAATATTATGTAAATGTGTGCTGTACGACGTATCCATATTAGCCGTAAGCGAAACCCTAGAGATATTACCTTTATTTATCAAACAAATTAGTTTAAGAACTAAAATGTGTATTTTCTACCTAAAAACCACAAACGAAGAAAACAAACGAATTGCATAATAAATTTGGAAATAATTTATAAAAATAATTATCCTGAGTGAATGATCTTTATATCTTTTACCGCAGGATTTGCATTTCCATTCAGGGATTGCACTGAGAATGCAGTGAACTGGAAAACTGCATGATAATCCGCTTATAGAAATTTCCTTTTCCTTTCTTGAGGCCCAAGGCGACATAAGACATGAGAGATTTATGTTTGCCGTGCACCCCATACAATCTGAGTATCTCTATAGGGAAGTGTAGTACGGCTCAAGATTCTATCGAGGGTTTTGTATGCGATGATGTCGCAGCTGTCGTTTTGGTTTCTCTTGCTCCTTGCAACGATCAATGATTGATGACTGATTGAATCTTGAAGTCTGATCGAAGCGAAGATTAATGACTGCGAGTTCTTACATAAATATACTCTCACACACACATATTCATAAATATTTGATGATAAAACTAGTTCATCTGCTTCACACATCACGATTTGCAACTTGAATCAAGTGATTTCCACTCGAAGAATGAGTGAAGTTCTTCCACAACCGTAGAGAAGGGTAAAAGATTAGTAAACTGATATTTCTTATAGACAGAATACACATTGAAACATTCATGGTTTGAGCAAATCTCATGGTTAATTAATAAAACAATAAGTCACAAAAAAAAAAACCCGTTTTAAAAGTTGTTTACAGGTGTTTCGTTTTCTTCATCATAATTCTATTTGTTTCTTTCTTCTTATTTTTTTGCACTAAAAATTCTGTCTTCTCTATTTGCTTAGGCACGCATTTGAATGGAATTATAAATAGCTGGCAAAATGCGTTGAGACCCTCGACGCAGTAATATGAATTTTATGAACATTTTATGACTCAAATAAAAACCATATAAAAACCACCTAAACAGCTCGTAAAAATTGCCCAAAGAATGGGCATTGTTTGCCGTTGAATAGTCACCCACTAAGGGGGATCAACAATAATAACAAAAGACGAGGCTGATAGAGACATAAACCCCTTGCTAAAAGGACATTGTCTGCGCTGTTTTGTCAACACGCAAAAGGGATTGTGCGAAAATTCGGCACGATCCAAGCCGATCCAAGCCAATCCGCTGCACCCTTAACAGCGACAAGGATCGCTGACAATAAACCAACAAATCATCAAAGGCTGGATTGGCAAACACACCGCAGAGTACAAAGACCCGGAATAAAAGGGCTCATCGATCGACAATCGATCATTTGGCAGTTTTGCCCTGCAAAATCCATAGACAAAAGGGATAACAGGGAGCCTCCAAAGGTATCGCGAATCTATGGCCAGGCAATGTTTGCCAATAATTTAATTGATAAATGATTTGATTTCTGCCAGGCGATCACTGGGCTCGTCGTCATCGATCATTGCTGGCATCGACCATTCGAGCATCGGAAGAGTTTCTTTCTCTCTGATTAGCATATCAATGCCTCACTTTTAGAGACTCACTAATGATCATGGGATTGTCTGCTGCTGTCTGTCTGCCTGAGTGTATCTTCGGGGTGGCTCTTCTCTTTCGGTTTTCTTTGGGTGCTGAAATCATCACGAATCTCTGTCCGTTGTGTGCCTCATCAGCGCTTTGTTATGCTAACTATGAGAAAAAACTGTGGCTGAGAGCATCTATCCTGTCGAGGATCCTTGGTGCTGTCTGGGCCCTGGGACTGTCACTTTTACATGCAGTCGTCTTTGGTTTGTTGATCGATATGATAATTAGAATGCAATGCCTGAGGCCAGGAAGGAGTTTTTGTTCGTTGAGCGTAGCAGTGGCATCTGCTGGATATATCAAAGAGCTCCTCAAGGAGTACACTGAAAGAAGCATATGGCTTTGGGAATTTCTAAAATGATTAGAGAACATTTCTGTGTACTAAAGCAAAGGATTTGAATTATTTTAGAGTGTTTCATCACACTAAATGTGCCCTAATTGATTAGTTCCGCTTATACTCCAGCAGTTCCTTTACTTATTCCTAACCATAAACTCTTCTAGTAGGGCAGTTCGCCGCTCCTTTACTTTCTTTCAGTGTATAATCTGTGCCAGTGCCGAGGAATTATGCAAACTACTTGCATTTGAAATTTATCTATGCATTTTTCAATGCCAAGAGATCATTGCGGGAAAGAGGCCTGCAGAAAGGCGTCATCAAAGCCATCAATAGATTTATGGTTTCTAAACTCTAGAGAAAATCAAAACACACACCCAGCCCTATCCCATAGATAGCAACTGATCATCAGGGGTTGCCACACACACAAAAACATCCGGAGAAAGGAAAAGGAGAAGCACATTTCACCCCAGCGAAGGTTTCGGGGGCGCTTTGCATAAGAAAGGATACGTCGAGGGTAACCCATTCCACGTATGGTATTTAGTCGGGTGTTCGGCATTCAGCAATTCTTCTTGGATAAACTATTTATGAAATTACTAGACAATGGGCACAATATGCAGAATACACTCCACCGATTAGCCCATATATTGAGCGGAGAGGACAGCAGAGAGGTGTGTATGTTTTTCCCATAACTTCTTGTTCCTTGTGGCATTTGCATTTCCTTGTGTTCCTCTCCTGTCTTTGCCAATTTTTGTGGCTCTCTTTGTGCTCCGCTCCTCGAGCATTGTTCGATTCTAATAAGGTGCGATATTGTGAAATTTGATGCGATTTTCGTTAGCCATTCTTCGGCGTACGAGTACGAATATATTCATATTTTTCACCCTATCCGTACTCATTCACCAACTCAAGGGATTCGCACTTTCAGTGCATAAACGGATGAGGAGAGGGCACACTCACTCACTCTCTATTGTTGAGGTTTTTGTTTCCTATGCTCTTGTTTGGATTGATTTCCCTTTATCATATTTCGATTGTTCAGTAATTGATACTTGAGCTAGCATATTGGCATATTGCCAAAAAAAAAACCACCTAGGTTTTTGTGGCATATTAATTAAGCGATTTCGATGATGCGGATTTGAGGGCATCATTGAGGGATTGAATGGGTATTATTGCACTCTTTGATTGGTGCTAAAAGGGTTTTTTTTCGAACGCATTTCTAGCATGTTTTGGCAGCCCAAGGAAGTAATTTTTCATTTAAGAGCAACAACAGATGTTGGAGATAGGTTGAGCATTTTTAGGGAATTTAATGTCCTTTAATTTCTTATTTTCTACATTTTCATTTGAATTACATATGTATATGTAGATACATATTCGTTATACTTTTTCAGTAGCATTAAATCGGGGCTGTAGATTTTCCCATTTAATTAACTTTCCCACCGTTTAAAGAGTACATCTTTTTCCATCAATCCTGTTCAAGTTTGTTTGCCATTCAATTAAATATTTTTTTCCAGAACTTTTTTATATTTTTTTGAAATGGGAAAGGCCAGCCCAAAAGGCACATCAAGTACTTAGCACTGTTCATATTTATTCAAACACTAAAAATCACGAGGTATTTGTATTACAATTAATGCAGAACTCAACTCCCTGACAGCCAACACGTGTTTGACATTTAACGACTAAAAAAATCCCAAAAATGCTGAAAAAACGACACAAAAAACTAAATGTTAAATGCGTAATTGAAAGACACATGAAAAGTGTATCCTGCACGCAGAAATCCTCCGTTATCCGCCGTAAAATGACGCAATAACAAAAATTTAATTAACATTTTCGCGCCCAGCCTTTTGTCGAAAACCTACAGCACAAAAAGTAACCAAAAAAAGGGAAAAAAAACTACAGTAACAAGGTCGATCCTATGGCGCTACTGAACTACAAAAAAAAACTTGTCACACGGGATTTCTTTGAGCATTAAAAAATACGCGCCAAAAGAACACACAAAAAAAAGCTGAAATCGCTTCAATTATAAACGACTTTTTTCGGTAGTCAAGCATAAAAAATTTTACTATTCCAACCAAAAAAAAATGGGTTAAAAAACTGACAAGGGGCTGAACCTGGGGATGGGTTATATTTTTTGTGTCCTTCGGGAGAGAGCAGCGAACAAAAAAATCACCCAAAAAAGTATGCAACGGGCGGGCATTTGGTTACCTCATTTGAATATTTGGCGCTGGAAATTTTCTCACGATTTTTTATTCTTCGCTTGTGTGTCTACCCACAGCTCAGGGGTGACGATCAAGGATAAAGGACGCTCGCTCGCACCACCCGGAGACACACAAAAAGATGCAGACATCCGCGAGCCCCGAAGACAAGAAGTAGAAAAAAAATCCGGATTTTTTGCCTCATTTCCATGCGGAAGCGTTTCCTTAACGATCTTTTCGAAATAGAAAGGGTGAATGCCTCAAACAAAAGGGTTCCAAAGGACCAAAGGATTGCCTAATTTATGCACAACACGTTCGCGGATCGGACGACGCACCTCAAAGGGTTGCTGATCATCCTCTGCCGGGATACTCGTATCTGGGCATCGCGCATTTGCATACATGATCATCCATGAAAGAACGGGGTTCGGGTCAATCATCATTTTTCATTTATCATCCGTAAAAAAAGGCAAAGTCCTAAGTGAAAAAAACCAGAGCTCTTTCGCATAGAAACATACGTAAATTATTTAAATTTCAATTTTTTTCTCTCGGATTTCTGTCAATAAGCAGGGGCCGAGATGTCCTACGGAAAGGATTTCTCCTTTGCCTTTTTTCTTTCGCTCTCCTCAAGCTGTTTGTCTGGGTCACTTTTGCTCCCTGCAAGCAGTCAGTTGCGGGGCAGGGAAACCACCCCAAAAACGCGTTCTAGTCTCCTTTCC